GTCGTGGGTTTTGGCTTGGGGAGTTCAGATCTAGGTTCTTATGATCACGATTTGGGTTTAGGTTTAGGGCTTAGGGTCGTCGTCATCAGCTCAATCCATTGCAAGCGACGTCAGCATGCTCATCCTGATCGTCGCGGGAAGCGCGACAATCCCGGAATATGCAGTGGGAGTGAACCGAGGAGTATTCCTTTCCCTGGAGCCCAACAGCCCAGGCCTAAAACCGAAATGTAGACCCTGAACATTAAACCGTGCTTCCCACACCTAAAACCCTTACCCCAAAAGCTCGGGAGCCCACGCGTCAAACCCAAAGCCCCGGCAGCGGGGATTGAGAGTTTACCCAGAGGCAAACTGAAGTGGGGTCTATAGGGGTTTAGGGCCAGTTTTCAGCTTTCGTACTTTTATCCCTTCGGACGGGCGACTCATCTTCTAGTAGTCGATATAGTCGTTTGTGGTTGCTCTGTTGGTGTTCTTTCTGCATTTGGAACTTGACGTCCTGATACTTGCACACCGTAGCAAAATCAGTGCCATGGTTGTTGCTGTTTGCTTGCTTATGGTGAGGTTCCTACACAAGAGCCCTGAACCCCAAAGCATAAAACTCTAAACTAAACCGTCTAAACCTTTTACCCCAAAGCCCAAGTCCACTGCTCCGGTCCTCAAGCCCGGAACCCTAAACAAGCAAGCGGGGGTGTTATTGCCAACACGTCTCGCACAGCTGTCAGGCACACCGACTTCCGCCACATCAAACGGGCTGGGCCCAGAGAACGCATGACTACAGGGGGCTCGAACAATTCGAACAGGTTTGATAGGATTCTCAAAATGGGTTTACAGGGTTTCTTGGAGTTTTGTACAAGGATCCCCCCCAATAATTAGAAGAGGGTCTTGGTGTACTCACACTACAACTCTCATCAGGCCCTACACGCAAATTCTTCGCCGGTCGGAGAGATAAGGCCCAGAGCTTGTGATTCCATAGTGTTGTCTTCGTGTGTTCTGCAGGTTCGGGGCATGGAGTCTCAAAGAGAGGTGTATCAATCGGTAGAACAGGGTATTTGGAGCTTGATACTGTTGCACTTTCCTTGTCAGGCCGATCGACTCCTCCTCCTCCTCCTCCATGTGCAATAGTTGCTTTTGGCCTTTCGCTTGTTCAACAGCCCGAAAGCCTGAAGCATAGGCCATAGACTTCAGGTCCTTACATGACGTCTAGAAGAAATACCTGAATGTTTCGAGGATCGGGAAGAGCAGCACAAAGGCACAGGGCCAGACGAGACGGAACCTCACAGCATCTTCTTGAGTAGCAGTTAGCACAAAAAAGATCCGCATCCCAACGCTTCAGACACTTGGCGCGCGCGCAAATGGTTTTTCGGCCCGTGGAAGCTTATTAGTAGCAGTAGGGCTCCCTCATTGGGGGGCTAAGGGGTTTCGGGTTTCGGAATTTCAGGGTCTTGGGTTGTCCCGGCCCTAAAATCCAAACATCTGCGTCCTACCTGGGATTAGAGAGCGCGACACCAAGAAGTCCTCAGTCATAGGAGCTTGGCCGATCGATTCTCAATTTTCGGTCCAACCCGACCCTTGAAGCTCAATCATGGAGAAGTGGCGAAGTTGGGTTCCTTACACCTCAGGACCCAAACGTGATAGACCCCAGGCTGACCCTAGTACTAATTGCCTCAAGCCCCTAAACCCCCTAACCCTAAACCATTTTAACCCCTAAATGGTTTCGGGGTCCCTCCCGCAACACCGATGGCGCGCTGGCGGCGCGACATCTGAGCGGAAGACTCCATGAAATTCACTGGCTTCCCGCTCCTGGTGCTTGATTTATTTTAGGATTTAGGGTTCAGGTTTTGTAGCGTGCCGGAGAAATCGTGCTTTTGGCGGTTAGGGCTGAAGGCTTAAGGCGAGGGTCGAGAGTTTAAGGCATTAGATCTAGGCTTTTTTTTCTTAGGGCGCGCGGTTAGTGGTTTAAGCATACGATGTGCTTGTTTGGTGCTTGGGCTTTATCCGTCGACGGGATGGCGTCGCAGGAATCTTGTCCGAAAGCCACCAGCATCATGTTGCCGGTGCGGACCGCGTAAAACTCCAATCCGAGCCTCAACCCTGCGCAGGCGCCACGCTTCTTAAACTGTAGACCCGGTTAAGCCGAAGCTCATATCCTAAGAGGGTTTAGGGTTGAGGGTTGAGGCTGTAGAAGACTACAAGCCCCTGGCCAATGAGTTCCCCACACAGAGACCATTAATTCCTGGGTTCTACATCCCGAAGTCCCCACCGCCCACGCGCCCCAAGTTGAAAGGCCCTACCCTAGCCCCCCTAAACCCTCAAGCTTGCATTCGGGGGTTTAGGGTTTAGGGTTTCTATGCAAACCTAGGCCGAGAGAACTGAGGCTTTGGATTTTCGCCACCTTGGCCACCTGTGCAAAGAGCTTGGAGGCGGTTGAGCAGAGGGTCTTGGGGTCAAGGCAACTGCCCTAAATCCTAAGCCGTAAAGCTTAGACCCTGACCTTAAACCTGAAACCCTAATCTTAGCTTTAACTCTAAACTATAAATGTCAACTTTAAACCTTAAGCCGTAGACTTCAACCAAATGCGGTCAAGGCAACTCATCAGGGGCAGTGTAGGCCTTGCAAGTGTCTGGGATTTAGGTTGTAGGACTTGGTGTTACTGTTTGGGAGACCGGTTCAACTCGTAGCCTATGTCTTTCAACGCGCGGCCGCCGTGCACCAGAAGCGGGACGAGGTGGTCGCCGGTGTGAACAGTTTGCAGGCTGTCATTCCACGGGATGCGCGCATGGATCAAGACCTTTTTCTCAATCACGTGGGGCGAAGCGATGTTGGCATCTACGTGCGGCACTGCTTCCGTCTTGGTCACAACAGGGAGCTTTCTTCTCGCCAGGTTTTTTAACATGCCGAATGACCAGAAGCTGGAGCTGAAAGAGCAATGGCATCAGGTACTCCAGGTTCTGGATCAGTGAGACGACTCGAAATGCAGCAGCTTTGCTGCGGTATATCGGTGATTATCGGTGCATCTCAATGCCGTGCGCTCGGCGGTTTGAATAGGGTCTTGGGGCCCAGTATACTATACTTATGCTAAGGAACCCCCAAAATAGCATTAGTAATTATTTAGGCCCCTACATTATATAGAAGCTGGAAAAACTGCCAAGATTCGTCCTTCGAGTCCCTTCAGGAGCAGGAAAGGAAGATTAATACTTCGGGTTCCTCTTGCAACTGTAGCGCTCTGGTCTTATTGTAAAGGCCCCTATGTTCAGGTTGAGCTGGGAATACTCTGAAGACTTCAGCTCGAAGCTTCGGAACCCAAGTCTAGGAAGGGTTTAGGGTTTAAAGCTTTAGGGTTTGGGCTTTAAAGCTTGACGGTTTATAGGGACTTCAAAGTTCAGGGGGTATAGGGTTTAGAGTTTAGTCTACACCCTAGGCCCCCAACTTCAAAATCGAAACCCTCAAGCCCACACGCGCTGCTCAAGCCGAAGCCCGAAACTCCCCATCTAGCATCCCGAGCCCTACTTGGACCCTTACGAGGCCTACCTTCTTTAGGGCTCCTTATTTTCATTTCTTACACAAGTCCCAGAACTCCTTCACCAAAATCCTAAAACTTCCTCCTCGTGTGGGAAGGCGCGGCAGCCTGCGGTGCTGCACCTCGATGCTTCAGGCGCCCAAGTTTAGGCTTTGGGGTGTCTGATTCAACTTTCAGGGTTCTGTTCCAACTCGTAGCAACCGAACGCGGGGGGTAAACCCTAAGGTTTAATCTCTGAATCCACTGACCGGGCTAGGCGAACCCTAGCCAAAGATGACATGGGTTTGCAGGTTATAAGAACGCTGAACACTTCATCGAGATCGCTTTGTAAGGGGCCTGTAGAGTAGAGCTGGATTAAAATACCCCTAGGACCCGTATACAGTTTTCGTGCAATATCACCGTCCAGTAGCGCAAACTAACTTTTCGAGTCATTTTCGAGTTACTGAGGCCTTTATGCTCACCCGAAAGTCTTCTGCCTGCCGATCAGATTTCCAATGGTCCTCGGCGGAAGCAGCCGGACGCCGGCTGGCTGAGAGGTCGGCGGACATAAACTCTATGGGGCTCTAGGAGTTTTCGTGCTAAACTCGTAGAGCCCTACACCTTAAACCTTGAGGGGCTTTTGGGGTTTAGGTCTTGAGCTCTAAGGGGTTCAGGGTTTAAGGTTTAGGGTTTGGGGCTCTGCGAGTAGTTCTCGCATCAGGGTTTCTTTGCATGTTCTTCTTAGACTGGTGAGTCATGCTTTTTGGGAATCCCAAAGGGGCCCTGATTCAGAGAAGTCCCACTTTTGGGTTTAGGGTTTCACTTGGAGTTGAATTGTTCTGGAACACAAGACCGAGTTTAGACTTAAGGTTTAGGGTTGTGAGGTTTGCAATCGGTTTGTTTGAGCGCTTGTCGCCGTTGGCTGTCGCACAGGTGCCGAGGGTTCATCCCTACAGAAATCTAAATGGTTCCCGACTGGGTACACTTGCATGTTGCTTGCACCTGGCGGGAATGCTGAGATACTACCGCAGAGGCTCCGATGTGTTACCCTTTTTTGCTAGCGGCGGAAGAGAGCAGCATTGTGGGCATCGTTGGACGACCGTTTCGAGATTTTGATTCGACAAACTGAACAACACACTATTCTGCCTCTTTGCCGAAAGCATGATCCTGCCCAGCAACATCGCATCGCTGCGGGCCCGTGTTTTTGTCAGGAGCTCGAACAGAAAAGGTCCGCCCTACGGGCACCAGCCTCCTCTCCTTGCGCTCGAACACCACCCAAGACACCTTTCTTCCTCCCAGAAATGGAGACTCGATGCTAGAATCTGCTAGAAGCTTCCATAGTCGAATTTAGGAGCCTAGAGAACTAAATGATTCCTGAGGGCTTGTTTATTCGACTTTCGATGCTGGTCAATTTGCCCCCCAAACCCTTTTCTAATCGTTCAGGCCGCCCTCTCTAGCTTACATTTACATATGGCACTATAAACCCAAAGCCCTAAACCCTGAACAGGAATGGAAATGCAAGCTGCAGAAGTCAGCGGCTACTGCTGAAACCTCGCAGGCAAAAATCGGGAATGCAGCACTTGGGAGATCTGAGGTGTGCTCGAGTTCGACTTCGGGTTAACGGTTCACGGCTTAGTGCCTTTAGGGCTTTGGGTTTAGGGGGAAAAGGTTCAGGGCCTTTATTTAGGGCCTTTAGGCTTTAGGGTTTAGGGGAATGGAAGGGGAAAAATGCTTGAAGATAACTACCAATACTTTAGGCTTCCTCATTATCATTCCACTACAAGCAAAGCCATGTCACAAGTCTCAAGGCCCCATGTAGCGGCTCCGGCCTTTGAGATTTCTGCGAGGTTCTGAGAGTTGGGAAGTAGGGTTTAGGGTTTAGGGTCTAGGGTTGTAGGGTTTAGGGTTTAGGGGTCTCCAAGAGTCAAAAAGCTTCTGAAAGCCTCTGAGAGGGTCACCAGTCCGTTGCGCTTCGTTCGCAGGCCTGCTGCTTTGGTTTCAAGCGCAAAGGGTTTAGGGTACTGCACGAGCCGCAAATACTCACCAATACTATTTTGGGGTTCCGTACTATAATTACAGTATAAATGGGCCCCAAAGCCCTCTTCTAATTATGAAGGCCCTGCATTAGGGTAAACGGTGTAGGGTTAAGATCCTAAGCTGACAGAGCTCTACACTTGTTGAAAGAGGGCCGCGTTGGCTGCCTGAGACGCTGTGGGGGTGGGGCGATGAGATAAAGAGAGGTAGATTAGGGGTTCGGGGGTTTAGGGTTTTGTAGGGTTTATAGAGTTTAGGGTTTAGGGTTTAGAAGGTAGCACAATGCATTCGAACCCACCTTGACGCATATGCTTTCCCTTACTTGCGTGCGATTCCACAGCAAAACGCGAACCTCACGCTCCGGCCTGCAGCCCTAATGATAAACCCGACACCCAAAACACCCCCAAACTCTGAATCCTACAGCCTGAACCTGGAAACCCCAAACCTGCAAATCCCTAAACTTAGCATCGCACTATTGCTCATGAGGGCTGCTTGCAATTACAACCATATATATAGCACGAAGGCCGCCCAAGACCCTACTAATTAAAATTGTTCGCGTATCAAACCCAAAGCTAAACCCTTATAAGCTCAAACACAATGGACCGTGAACCCCAACCTAAACCCCACAAGCTCAAACCAAACAGAAAGCCTGGCACTTTCATTTTTTGGAGCTCAGAGCAGGCAGAAAGGAGAAAGCACCTCGGAGCCCTCACGCCGACTAGCCGAGAGGCCGGAATTTGGCTGCGTTTTCGGGTTTGGGACTACGGTTTTAGGGTTTAGTAAGGGGGGAGGTCTCGAAGTTTCGTGGTTTGGGAATTCTGCGTTTCGGGGTTTTGGGACTAGGGGTTTAGGAGTTTGGTTTGGGGATTTCGGTATGTCGGGGTTTGGGTCTAGTGGGGTTTGTATAAGGTTTGTGGATTTCGGGTTCGAGCGGTTTCTGGTTTCCGGGTTTGGCGCCTCTCGCCCGCTCAGTTTAAGCGGCACGGTACGCCGACAAACTAGAAACCCAGTTCAAGCTTCCAAGCCGTGGTTCCGTGGTCCGTGGTAGGCTCCTCACAAACGTGGAGGAACTGAGAGGCACCTCGTGGCAGCACTTGTGGCTTGAATCGCAATGGAAATGTGGGGCCGAGAGTGTTTAGGGCTTAGGATGCAGGGGGTAGAGTTTAGGGCTCGTGTATCCTAAATCCGAGCACCCTGAAGTGCTAAAGCCCCACAGCCGCCTCAAGCCTGAAACCCCAAACTCCAAGCGTTCCCTGTTTATCATAATTATAGTACAATATACCTTGACAAAAACCCTTTTCTAACTAGTTAGGCCCCTATTTTGCACTTCTGGAATTTCGGTTAAGGGTGTCAGGCTTTCTGGGGCTTCGGGCTTCGATGCTTTGAGGGGCGACGTGCCGTCGAAAGCTATGTTGGATAAGGGTCGAGGGTTTAGGCTCTCGAGTTGGGGTTAGGGCGGTTAGGGGTTTCAGGTGTGTCGGGTTTGGGATGTAGAGGCTACAGGATGTGAACATGTAATCTTTGGGACCACTACAAGCAGTGTCATCCGGCCAGCGGCCAAAACCCGTACACTCTAACCGTACACTCTAAGCCTCAAAGTGACTCAGCGCCTACACCATGAAACCCTCAAGCTCTAAAACACCACAACCCCCTAATCCCCACACTCTACACCCGGATATCCGACTTGCTTGGCATTGGATCCTTCGGCTGGTCCTACAGTTTTGAATCGAAGCGGGGTTTATTCTACAGAAAACAACATAATACGGGCCT